CCCGGCTAATTGACAGCTAGCCCCACTAGGCCTCAAAGCACTGGGGTGTGAGGGAAGGCATCGCCTCAGTGCCCAGGGGTCCGGATCTGTGGAGACTCGGTCTGTGTTCTTCCAGCTCCAGTTCTGCCGTGTGGTGCTTAGCGGTGGTAGTGAGGTGGGAACCGTTAGTGTCTTCAAAATGACTCCGCTGTGTTTAAAATGCTGGAGGCGGTGCGTTAGTAGAGGGTGAGGTGTTAGTGTATGATGTGCATCGTGGAGCGATTGAGGACCTCTAACAACAGAAGCCCAAGCATTTCCCACCTGGAGTACTGCGTCCAGCTCTGGATCCTCAGCACAAGACAGACATGGGTGTGCTCGAGTGGGTCCGGAGGAGGACCACAGAAACGGTCAGAGAGCTGGAACACCTCTCCTGTGAAGAAATGCTGAGAGAGTTGGAGTTGCTCAGCCTGGACAAGAGAAGTCTGTGGGGACACCTTATTGCAGCTTTTTAGTCTATAAAGGGGGCTTATAAGAAAGACAGAGAGAGACTTTGAACCAAGGCCTATAGTGACATGGCCAAGGGGCAGCAGTTTTAAACTGAAAGAGGGTAGGTTTAGATTGGACGTAAGGAAGAAATTATTTACAAGGAAGGTGGTGGGACACTTGGCACAGGTTGTCCAGAGAAGTTGTGGATGCCCCATCATTGGGAGTGTTCAGATTAGGCTGGACCGGGCTTTGAATAACCTGATGGAGTGAAAGATGTCCCTGCCCATAGCAGTGAGGTCAGACTAGATGATCTTAAAGGTCCCTTCCATCCCAAACCATTCTGTGATCTTGTGAATGAGAGTTTAGATCTGCTGAGGTCACCAGCAGTGACCCACATCACTTGAATCAGATGTGTTAACATACCTTTCTAAAGAAAATGGTTTCTTAGATCTTTAAAAATATTTCCCCTGTAGTAAGTGAAAGGTGATCAGAAAGATTAATTTCTTTGTTGTTTTTGTTCTGAAAACTTTGCAAAGTCTGGATGTGTTTATGGTACTAATGTCTTGGGGGAGAACAGGGAAGTGCTTGTGTAGGTCATGCCCAACTAATATGTATGACCAGCAGTGGTACTTTCCCCACAAAGTGCAAATGGAGGATACAGTGAGTGTGGGTTAATAGGCGTGTAATTTCCCTCCTTCTCCCTACTTCAATAAATCAACTCCTTCATATAGTGAAGTGGAGAGCAGAGCAGGAACTAGGGCAGTGGGTTTAGGTGCCACACTGGAAGTTGGGGGACTTGGGTTTTTTCCTTACTCCCGTACAGATATGCTGAGTGATGTTCTGTGCCTCAGTTTCCTCCTGTGTAAAATGTGTGTATTTACATGCAAGGATGCTTTCGGAATTGGTTCTGAAGAGGAAATACTTAGGAAAACTGGTAATATTTCAGCAAGGTGTATTTGGAAGTGGCACAATCCTGTGCACTTGCCAACAATGTTCTCATCCCTTTTTACTTTCTGTTTCTGTTTTCTCCTCTTGGAACATGGCAGGAGTAGAGAAGAGATTGAGAAGGGACAGGGATGATCAAAGATGCTGAGCAGCTTCTGTACAAGGAACAACTGAATAGTTTCAGATCCTTCAACTTGAAGAAGTGACAGTAGGAGAAAGAATAACAGATCTGTGCAGTCATGGGTGTTACTAAAGGAGACGAGTAAGGAACAATGATTTCTTGCCTCTTCAGACAGAACCTGGAGTGTCAAATGGAACCCGTGAGCAGCAGGCTTAAGACCTGTGAAAGCAAGGGCTTGCTGAGGTGAAATGTGATTAAACTGTGGAACTGGAACCATGCCCTTAGCCTCTCCCTTCTCACTTGAGAGCAGCTAACCAGATCCATTACCCCATTTAGCCCAGTATCCTGTCCCTGGCAGTAATCTGCAGCAGAAAGCGAGGGAAGAGCACAGGGCTGAAGCAACACTCCTGTGAGGGACAGGATACTGAGCTAAACAGGGCAGTGGGTGCAGCCTTGCTGCTTCTGCAGTGGGGAATGGCCAAGAGCTGTCCTTCCTTTGCTTCAGGGTTCCTGCAAAGGTGCTGGAGTGACCCAAAGGCTGACCTTGACTGAGTGTCCTCTGTTCTCTTGCAGCACCAGGATTTCTCCTGAGCCTGTAAGAACACTAGGGACTGTAGGCTCCACCTTTAGCCTCTTCCTCACAAAATTCCCAGAGCCCCTAGAGCTGGATCCTCTGACTGGGCCTGAGCAGGTCCTATGTGTCTGCATCGATTCCAGGTATTAGCTTGCTGCAGAGAACTTTTTCTAAGCTCTAGACCATTCAAACTCTAGCTTGTTCTGCTTTTTAATTTCTTTCTGTCTTTGGTTTCTATTCTGTTTCTAATATTTCTGTTTCTATACATTTCTATTTGTTTCTCATTTATTTATTTAATGCTTAGGTTCTGAGACTGTTGTGATGGTCGCTGTATACATGGACATTGGAAATCAGTCGCTACCTTACCTTGCTTATAGAAGATAGAGGGATGGGGGAACAAAAACACAATGTGTGTGGAGGCCAAGTGACTTGCCTTAATTGAGAAATTAAGTAATTTCTCAGTGGCAGAGCCAGTGAGGAAAAAAAAAAAATCCCTTTCTACTCTGGTGTTCTTCTCACTTAAGACTATCCCTTCAACTTTATGGAAGGGAGAATGAGAACAGAGGTTGACTGTTGAAAGCCGCAGAAAAGTGTGTGAGATTTGCTGGACTGTGAGATTTCCTGCCTGTTTTGTACTTGGACCTTACTGCCTTTCTGTCACTAGAATAATTTAACTTCAAATCTTCTTAATTCTTGAAAGTAGAATCACACTTTTCTTGCCCTTATCCTACAGGAGATTGTGCTGTCAGAGGTAACGTCTCCAGCAAAGGGAAGCTTGGAGCATCACACCTAGTAGGAGTGGGGAATTCCTGAAGATTTCTGCAGTGGACTTGCACAGAAACCACAAAGTAAAATTTACGCTACTAATGTGTGGCGTGATGCTCTAAACTACTGGTGGGGGATGCGGGTAAAGACTTATTCAGAAGCATTTAGACTGTTCTGTGAAATACGTAGCTGGCCTTAAAATTTTTCAGCTGCTAGGGGAAAAGAGAGACTGTATGAAGAAGAACAATTAAGACTTGAGTGGATATGGCCAGCAAAAGAGAACAGATGTCCATGGGACAAACCGTAGGGTATAGAGTAAATTATGTCACTCTTGTCAGCACTCCACCTCATTGAGAGAGAGTGTTCAAACCTCTCGTTTCTGTCTCTGTCTTCTGCTCCCTTTTACTTGCAAGCCTGTCTATGCTTCTTTCCTACATCCTTTTTACAGTAAGGAATTAGCGTTTCTTCCTTGTTTTCTGTGAACTGCTGGAAGGCACTGGAGAAGTTTGGGGACAACTGTTTTTCTCTCCTCAGCTGACTTGAAGATCCACATGGGGCAGAACTAGCTTAAGGAAATGGTTGACTAGCTTATGAATGGTTGACCTCCTCCAAATAAAAGGGGGTTCGATCTAGGGCATGGCTTGCTGGCCCACTCTTGGGCCTGTTTTTGGAGCAGATATTGTCAAGCAAGCTTGACATGTCTTGTATCACCCCCTATGACTTGTTTGTGACTTTCTGAGAGGACATAAACCAGTTTTCTTCCTGCTTTAACTGCTGGAGCTCCTGGGAGCTGGTTTCCATCCCACTGCTGTCCCAAGAGTGGGCTTTGTCTATTCTACTAGTAGTTGTTGCTGGAGGAGCAAAGCACCAAGGTTCAGGGGATGTAGGTGAAAGAGCAGTTAGAGGGCAAGTGCTAATAAGCTCTGCTTTCCTGTGCTCATCCTGCTTGGTGTATGATAGTTGCATCAATTGCTTTGTGTTTTGTCCCAGTTTTCCTGCTCTAGGTATTTTCCAGATAATGGCGAAGATGGTGAGAAGAACATGTGCATTTTGTTCAGAAGGAGAGGCTGGTTCTGTAATGTATATTGCCAAAGAGCGAAATATTGCAGCTCATCAGGATTGTCTGGTGAGTGGCTTTTAGTTGGTCAGTACTGAAGAGGAAAGGAGAAGAAGGGCTAAAGGGGAAGTTTCCACTGCTTGTCTATTTTTGACTCTATAATGGTGTCTGAATTAAAAGGTTGATTACTCAAACCAGCAAGCTTGTATTAGATTGAAAAGCTACAAAAAGCAACAGGGCTTGGCCAGAATTTTGGAGAGGGAGAGGATGTGGCTGCATAGCTGGACACATTGATTTGTGCATGTTTTCATGCATGTCTGTTCCTGATCAATGGTTCTAGACACACATACAGTCTAGCAGTGGGAACACATCTTCATGAGACACTAAATTGGATGAGGCTTCTCAGACCACAGAAAGTTGTGTACTTACTTAAACCTTTGCAGGAGAATATTCACATCACTTGATATATCAAGGTAAAAAGCTTCCCAGTCTGTGCCTTATAAAATAAGGAATAAAAATATCAGAAGTTGATTATATAAAAATGTCTGTGAAGCTCTAAGTGTGCTGTAATCCTAAAACATTTACTCTTCTTGCTGTCGAAATGCCTCCCCTTTATTCTGGGATTTTAATGGAGCTGGTTCTTGGTGTGCAGAATTGATTACAGATGCTGTATTGTCCCTTCAGTGAGGGCTGCTTAGTGCAGGAGATGTGTCTGCTGCTGGAACAGCTTTCTGGCTTTCACTGTTCCAGCTTTCTTATTTTCACAGGTTTTATGTTTGCTTCTTCATGCTACTTTTTAGCAGAATGTTTCAGAAACATCTGATACCTATTTTACAGTGTTCCTTGGATGTTTTGTTTTAAATAGGTTTTGCTAGGGCTATAATGTTGCTTCAGTGTTGAAACTTGTATTGGACTGTATGGAAATGTTGTTACAGAGAAATATTGCATCCAGCTGTATGCCTGAACAGCTGGGCAGTTAATAAGGTGTTCAAGGTGTAGAAGTCTGTCAGCTGAAGAGCTGCTTCTCCTTACTCTGGGCAGCCTGGAGTTCCAGACTTTTTAAATTCACACTTCTTACTAAGTTTACTTTCTCACCTTGTTATCTTTTCTTAGCACTGGTGACTGAATCCTTCTGTTAATTCTTAATGTTGTCTCTTTTGTCTTTAGTTATTTTCCTCAGGATTTGTGGAATCTGAAGAGTATAATCCAGATAATCTGGATATAAGATTTGATGTGGCATCAGTGTTGAAAGAACTCAAGAGAGGAAAGCGGCTGGTAAGGAGTTTCTGAATCTGCACTTAGTCCTATCTCATAGTACTGAAGATTGTGTACCCTGTTTTAGGCTTGAAAAAAAATGCAGAAAAGTACTTGGTCCTTCCGTTTTACTAAGATGAGGCAAATTACAGATTTAGAGTTAGAAACATTGATTTTACATTATATTAGGTGAAATTTAGTTCATTTGGTATTAAAATGTCTTGGTTTTTCTGGCCCTTTTTTCCCCTGCTAAGAGAAAAGACTGAGAGACTAAGTCCTTAGGCTGAGTTTCCCAAGAGGCTTTGGTAAAGGAATAAGCCAGTGCCTGGAACAAAATTATGCAATCCATATGTGTAAAGGGGAACACCTTCTGTTTTTATCAGAAAGAAGGTTATTTGTATGAGCTTTTTCTGATTGACTTTATCCTCAGCTGCTCTCCTTCCTTACCTCCTGGGTGGAACTCTTTTCATCGTGTAGTTAGCCTAGCAAACGTAAGCACTAACACCAATCGGTATTGAAACAACTTGGGCAAGATTTAGGGGAGGGGGGGAGTTGCCCAGTGCCCTCACATGGCTTTTTGCATAATTTTACAAATTCATCAGTATGAAATAGAGGTAAAATAGCAAAAAGGTAGCTGAAATAATGACCAGGGTAGGAGTTTTCAGGCTTGAACTTGCCTGATGAGTTACACAGAGGTGACTTGCAGTGAAAGATTTGATTTTCCCACAGAGGATAGTATTTGCTTTGTATGGCAAGCTTTTCAATAGCTGTCTGTAATGCTTACCTGCTAAACCTCATCCTGTTCTAGATGTGCAACTTCTGTCGCAAGAAAGGAGCCACTGTGGGATGCGAGGAAAGAGCCTGTCGCAGAAGTTATCACTACTTCTGTGCACTCTGCGATGATGCAGCAATAGAAACAGATGAAGTAAATGGAGTCTACCGGTATTTAACCAAGTATTTTTCTAACAAATTATTGTCAAGGTTTTGGTGGTGGTGTCAGGAAGAAAGACTTAAAATTTGTGTGTTTTTAAAAGTTTTTCAAAAAAGAAAATGTGTTCTCCTCTCTTAAAGTGGTGCCTGATCCTCTGTTCACAAGCAATAGGGGAAATGTTTTCTTTTCACAGGAAAACATCACATCAGTGGGAAGGAATCTATTCAGTGTCTGAGCCTGCAATGCACCTGAAAGATCACTAGGCCAAAACTGAGGAAGTCAGTCCTTACTGGCTGTCTGCTAGTCTTCAGGGACGAAGATTTTTATTAATGTCACTCAAATTCTAAATTTCTGTTGGTTCAGAAGCTTCAATAACTGTGTTCTGACCACAGAGAAGGCTATAGCACTTCTAGGTCTGTTCACATTAGGCAAATTCTGGTGATTTTCCTTCCATATGCTAGCAGAGAACTTTCTGTTCCCACCAAACACCTTCTTATATTTCAAGTACATCACTAGCATTGATGCAGACTTTTAAAGTAAATTTCCTGTCCTGATCATGCTAGTCCTGGTGTCCATTGCCCTTGGGCTGACTGAACTGCCTTTAGTAGTTGTTAGAGTTGTTTGGAGGATGCAGATGAAGGGGTTCAGAAATTGGGACTTCAGGGACCTTTTGGAGTGCTGAAGTTATAGTAGAGTCTGAGGTGCATAAACCCCCCGATGTCCATTTCTGTGCAAGGCCAGAGAGATTACAGGCCACGTTAGTCTTAGATTAGTCTGGTAGACTGTTTAATCACTACTTGTTTCAGGAAGAGGTGGACTAGTGCAGTCCTTAGTAGTAGCGGAAGATGGGTCCTTTTGTGTCAAAATACTTGCACTCCTGGCTGCTGCACTGGGGCTCTCAGTCTAAAGTAAACACATCTTTCTGCAAGGCTGTAAGCCCAGCTGTATAGGGAACATGATATGTTTAGTTTATGCTTATAAAATCTTCATGATTCTGCAAAGCTCATGAAAGAGTGCAGCTGGGAAGATGGAAGCTTTCAATGATCACAGTTTAAATGGCTCTTATCATATAGCTTTAGAAAGGATACCTGGAGCTGAAGAAGACTGAACTTCTCAAGATGTTGAAAAATGAATGGGACTGGTAACAGTCTACGTACAAACTGGTAAAGAAGTAGTTGAATAGTTTGGTTTGGTGGTTTTCTAAGCTGGTGACCTTTATGGTTTGAAAGAAGGACCCTTAAAAATACCTTGTATTAAGTCATTGTGTGAGACGAGTTGCTTGTCCTATATAGAAATACAGGAAACTAGGCTATAGCAACCTGTATTGAAGAGATGAAAAAGGACTGGATTAGAGAAAGATGGTGAGGCGGGTTTCAGGGATTTGAACCCAAAGACTTTTGCACAGTATCAGTTGCATAAGTAAAGCACAAAGTTTGTAGCTAGCCTGAAATTGGAGAGAAGAGGAACAAGAGTTGAAAAACAGTGCGCATGGATTGACAGCCCCCTGCACTTCTCATGGTGAAATATGACATACTGAAAAGCATATCAAAATAAAGAATTACTTCAAGAGAGAGGGAGCTGGTGTTTTAAATTCTGAGTTGCCATTGTTGTGGTGATGAGCAGTGATTATCAAAACAAAGAGAGCAGAACAAAAATAGAAGGCATAAGGTCCTGTGGAAGTGGCTAGTAAGAGTGGAGGTGGGGAAATAAGCACAGTTTGTGCTGCCATCTTGCAAAAATTATAGTAGGGAGGTGCTTCCAAATAAAGTGACCTGAGTAGTAGAAGATGTTGTCTGTTCTTTATAAGATGTTCTTGTACTTAGAAGGGTTGATTTTAACTGTGAAAGAACAGAATTAAAGAGAGGGGAGGGAAAAAAACCAACCTCCAAAGGGCAATATTAGAAATTCAGGGATGTAAATAAGATGCCTCCAGTACTTAGCTTTCTGATTGGATTGTTAGACATGCATAAATTTGAAGGTTTTTGCATCAAAATGAATTTAATGAAAAAAAATCTGGCTCATCAAGGAAACAGACTATTTCTGAGGTCAGTACTGCTGTTTTGTTAAAATAAAAGAATGACAATAATTAAAAAATGTCTTAGTAAATGCAGTTACCTTTAAAAATTGTTTCCAAACACTTGAGCATTAGTCTTGGCAAATAAATTTGTAATGAAGAGATCAGCTGAACCATGCTCTTGACAAGGCAATTTTGCTTAAAAAGTGATTTGGGATCCTTCTGTAAGAAAGGCATATTATAGAAGCTGCTTCACGTTCTCTACACATTATTGTATCCAAAAGATAAGGAATATTTCCAGCTGTATTTGTTGCATTTTGCCTCTTGCAAGGAATTCACATTGCTTTCCTAGAACTAGAGAAAATATTCCCATCTCACATATTACTAAAGTTTTTAAGTAACGAATGGATTGAGTGGCTATAAGCTACTGGATCTCAGACGGGGTGCCCTACTGCCTCAGGATGTGGGGACCACCTCATTGACACTGGGCAGCAAAAAGGAGGGGCACAGAGATCTGCAAGCAAGTGGCTGGTACTGTGTGTGGTGGTGCAGTGCCATGTGGCTATGCCCGCACATCATGCAGGGCTTATAAATTCAAGCTGACTCGTAAGCAGATACATCTGAAGAGGTTCTGGGCCTGGCCTGAGTGCTACTGGGCAAGAAGGCAGAACTGCAGTAGCTACAATCAAGCAATATTAGTACTGTGGTATTTAGTCTTGACAGCATTAGTCTCATTTGAATAAGGCATTTCAATAAGACTACCTCTGCCACAGTGATTGCCACACCAGATTAAATATGTCTGGCTCAGGATTTGAACAGTGAGAAAGTCCAGACAGTGGGGTGGTGGAACTGATAATTCAAAGCTTCAGAGTCCACTGAGGTGCTCAAAGTACAAATATAAGCTTTTGCATGTTATATAACTTTACAACTGGTGCTTTCCTAGGTGGGTGATGCTGAACAAAAATTTGATAATTTTTTTAAGCGTCCTTCAGTTCATATTCAGTGAAAAGAGGGGAAAATATCTGTTAAAAACAGTCAGCATAACTCTGTTTACATATTTATTAATACTTTTTCTCTTTTTCTTAAAAATGAACTTAAATTTTAGAGTGTTCTGCCCAAAACATGACCCAGGCAATAGGACCAATCACTATGGTGAGTTTCTTTAATGACTTCATTGATTTCACTTGTTTTCTAAGTTTGCATCCTACAGTCAATAACTCATTTGGACAAAATAAATGTTATGCCACCTTTATATTGAGCGGTGGATTTCTAATCTTGTAGGAGTGGTTTGGTTGAGATCAATGTATATGCACAAAAATCAAGAAGGCTTTCTGAAGTAGGAAATGTTCATATTTGATCTTCCCTGAATCTCCCTCAAAACTGACTTGTAAAACACTGTAGACCTGATCCTTTATGGAATTATTCTGACTGTGTTTAAGCAGGTAGGCCCAAGCAGCTTGTAGAATCCATGGGAGAGATGAGACCCACGCTAATGAGTGATGCACAAGCTTGTACTTGATTAGCAAAAAGAGGGGTGTCACAGGAGTGGTCACATTAGGATTTTTATCTGTAGTTACGTTAAAATGCTCACATTTGCATCTTCCGTATTCACCGCGGTAGTTTTTTAAATAGGGCCTTTCATGCTGAAGGATCCCAAAGAGCTTTTTCAGTATAACGTATACAACCCCTGTTTAAGGATTGCTTCCTTTGCTACAGAAATGCAGCTTAATTTGGCAGTCCTGGTCCTTGCTGATTCAGAGGTAGTCAGGAATGTCACTGAATTAACCAAAGCTGTGACTTGGTTAACCTAATGCATACAATCCTGCTCAAAATGGAGTGGGTTGTAGATGGGCCTTCACTTTGAAGCTGAGCTCAGTCGAACTGTGAGCACTGATGGTAAGAGTGGTGTGCTCCCGCTGAAGTCTAGCAAACTTTGGCTGATCCGCTTGACAAAGGACTACACTGTGATGCCACTCAAGAGGTGGGTTAAGTGGTTATCATTTAAACTTTCAGTCACAGGGTATGGGGCTTCTTAGCGAGCCATCACTAACCAAGTGTAGCTTCTTATTTCACTTGGTAGTTTTACTTTTTACATATCCATAGTTTTGAGGCCCGGCATTCCCTCCCTTTTAAAAATCAATGTGATTTCTATGGTCTAATGGTTATTAGTCTGTTGGGTCTGTCCAGAGTCCCAGGTGGTCTCCTGCCCCAGTTCTAGACAGGGCCAGGGTTGGTTTTTTTCCATTATGAGATGAGATTAAGGCATTAGGCCCACCCTGTAGACCACCTCTTTCGCTAGGAAGTTGTAAATCTTACAAGGTTGAAGGTTTTAGTGTCTTCAGGTGCTGCATATACAATGTATGGCCTGTTCCCCAAGAAAAATTTTCTTCTAGAGATCTTCCAGAGGCACTTAATTTGGAGACCCTCTGTTTATGAAGGGTAGATGGATTCTGCTGGCAGTGTCTTGTCTTGCCTCCTGAATGATCTTCTCCCACCTCTTTCCAAGAGAGCAGCTGTACCCCAGGCGGTTGGGGAACAACTGTGAGAGTTGGGTAAATGACATTTGGTTCCCCAAGACAAATGTCTCCTGCATCTGAGCAACTCTCAGATGCATGTGTGACGCTCAGAATAGCCAGAGCTATCTGCTGGTTAGTTGGCTGAAGTAGCAGGTACCCTGGCTGGCCCACTCCTGGCCCATCTGGGCAGGCAGGAGATACCCGTCCGAGTGTGTTTGCAGGTCTGCACAGGGCAGGGAGTGAGGCAGGCTGGAATGGGAGCACTGTGGCTCCATGGTGGAGCTTTGACTTTCAGGATCCAACTCAGGTGAAGTAGCTCAGCCGTTCCTCTGGGGCAGGCTAAGCCAGCACTGGGCTGTGTGGGAGCAGGAGCTGGTACAAAAAAGCTGCCTCTCCAGGCTTGTTTTCCCTGTTAGTTTGGACAAAATGGGGTCAGAGAACATCCACTTATTCTTGGTCCAGAAAGCATTGCTGTGCTGAAATGTCAAGGCTCTGCTGTGTAATAGGAAGGGGATAAGAAGTCTCCCTGCAGTAATCTGCAGCAGGAGTGGGAGGGCAGTTGACTTGGAAACAGGCTCCCACCTCTACTTAACTGGAAAAGTTGGATGTGCCCAGCTTAAAGGCTGACAAACGTAGAAGAGCGGAGAACACTGTGGGGAGCAGCAAGAGTTGGGCTGCTCTTTGGACTGTGTTCCTCTTGTTGTATAAAGCATCCCTAAAGCAGACATCAGGAAGAGCTGAGAAAATCCTACCACAGGTCAAAGATGTTGTGTTAGACAGCAAGGAACACTTTATGCCTATGCCAGCATCTCCCAGACTGCTCCAAAACAGGCCACCCAGCTTTATTTTGGATAAAGTGAGAGGCTATGATTTTCTTTCAGGCCAGGAAAAATGCAAATGGACAGCACCAGTACATAAAACCCAAATTTGTTTTAACAGCCTTCTTCTACCGGTACTAACTCCTCATTCCTCCTAATAGGATGATTTCTAACAGGAAAAATCTTACTAAGTACTGCCCAAAGGCTGTAAAGTTGAATGGGAAGGGGGCATATATAATCCCGCTGCATATAAACACCTCAGGTTTTGGTGGGTGGTTGAACTCTTTTATAGCGTTCTCTGCTCCTGCGATGTCTTCCTTGCCAGAGTTACCCTTCTCTGTTCGTGATGCTGCAGCTGTTTTTAGCAGCTGCCAGATATGATGTTGGAGAGAGGCTGGTGCATCCTAATAGAAAGGACAGAGTGAAAGCAGATGTTTTTGTGGAGATCTTGCACCATGTCACTAGAAACACTTGGTAGCATAAATAAGATTAAACTTACAAGTCAAATTGCTTCTGGAGGCTTTCTAGGAGGTCATTATGTCAATGAAAAAACTAATGCCATTTGTACATCTTTGGGACACCTGAAATAATTCTTTATGTAGTCTTAGTTTTGAGGGTGTATTAACATAAACAAGGGTTGACTGAAAACAGTCATCTTTCATAAATTTGCCTGAAGTTTTTACCACCTAGAGGTAGTGCTGCTGCTGCAGAGAGTCAGTTCACTCTGCCACAGTCAAAAATCTTATGTTAAAAACTGGGGTTTGCTTTGTACTGAGTTTAAAAGGAGAAGCAATATCCTAATGCTACAGTGATTTGCACTTCTTCCTAATTGTTCAGGCTTGTAATTTTTCTTACATGGAAATAATGTGAATTCCACTGAAATGTCAGGTATTTGGGGAAGCTGAAACAGGTTCTTGCCTTGCCCCCCCAAAGTGCCTCACTTCTGTAGCTTTTTGGGAGAAGAGAAAATTTGAATGATGTGAAATCGTCAGTCTGAGGTTGACGTATTTGTTGTTTCTTGATTCCTAGGTGCAGCTAATAAGAGGAGAAGACATGCATTGAAGTCTTCCACCATCGCAGAACAAATGGTAATTCTGAATTTAAGTAGTTCTGTAACAGAACCCTCATCTGCTACAGCAAAGGACTTCTTTAGTGAAGTATTTTGACAGTGTATTCAGAAAGAGACTTCCTCACGGAAGTAGTAACTTTTCCTTTACAGCTGCCTTGTTTTGATCTTCTCATTCTGTCAAAACAAAGCTGTTTGCATTTGGAGCTGCTTCAGGTGGAGGCAATGCTCCCCTCAGGGAACGTGGCACGAATGCAATAGGAACCTCCAAACCAGGCTGACTCGGTGGGTGTGATCTTGACATGACCAGAAGGAGCTTCCCTTTGGGGGCTCCTTTTCTTTGGAAGCAGTATGTCCCTCAGATCTGCCTAGGGCTAGACGGAGTTTTCATGAAAAACTGCTTTTGGTGAGTCACTTGGCCTTTTAAACTGGCACTTGTTTGTGAGCCCGTGCTCATGATGAATGTGGCAGGTTTTCATTGGAGATCTGGCAGTTCTCAGCTCTGCTGCTGAAGATGGCCTTCCCGGGGATTTGGGAGCTATCAAGCAAAGCCTCTCACTATTTTCAGGAGGAGCTGTTTTAGGGGCTGTTGTTAGAAAACCTGTAAATACAGCTTATTTTAAGGTTTGAGGTGATTCTTTTGGCATCACAAAGTATCCATAGGAACTCCCATTGACTCTTGGAGGGGTTAAGACTTCTCCTTTCTAGAGGAATTACCATCCATCTTTCCTTGGGAAAAACTTCTGCCATTCCCACGTCTTGACATTAAAGGCAGGTTGTATGAGGGGACATGAGCAATCTTTGCAGCTCTTATGTAGTACTCTCATAAGGGTTGGTTATTTGTCTCCAAGAATTTCTCAGCTGTAAATCCACTTATGTTCATGGTATTGTAGCTGAGATTCACGTGACCTGTTACCCATGGTAACGTGCTGTTTCTGCTGCTCTTTGGTGCTAGTGATGTCGGAAATCAGTACAAACACTGCCAGTAAGAAGCTGAGGGGCGCCAGGATTTATCACTGTGGGATCAGTTGTTTACCATTCTGTAAGCAGTGCATTTTTACACTGAGTTTTGTGGCAGAGCTGTAAGAATTGTTTGCAGTACTGTGGTATATTGTGGAACAGCAGAGAATGACTGCGTCCTGTCCAAAGGAAAAGAAAAATATTCCCCCTCTCCTCTCAGATCCGTAACTAAGCATAATTTGCACTGGGAGTTAGAAGTAGGCATTTGTTAACATCTGTGTGTTTTGCAAATGCAATAATAAGGGAAGGTGGTGTCCCAGGTGTTGGGCTTTTCTTAAAGTTTTGCTCTGAAGCAGTTTTTGCCTGCCTTTTTAAAAACTGAATATTGTTAGCTGTGCAGAGAAGCTAACTATTCACAGAAGTACGGGCTGCTTTGTATCTTTCTGCTAATATAGAGGTAAGATAATGAAAACAGAGCAGTAAATGTCAGTATGATGTAAAAATACGTTGTTTTGATTTTCTTACAGAGCACAGAAGAGACAGCAGAAGAAAACAGTTTACAAATACTAAAAAGGAAAAACAATAGGCATAAAGGTGCGACTCACTTTATAGAACAACTAGATGATGCTGTGATCTGTCATGCTGAAGTTCAGAGCTTGGAGAGGGTTGGTAGCAGTGGTGCTGCAAATATATCTTTTGTTATTCTACTGAGATGAGTGACTCTCCATGCTCTGGCAAGGGAGCAGGAGTCTGATTTGCAGAATGACTGTGCACGTTTTAATAATTGTGCAGCAAACAAGTCTCTGTGCTTTGCCCAAGACTTGCTATGTGACGTGAGCTGATGAATTCACGTGGGATTTCTATAATGCCCCTGCTCTGGCTGGCTGCTGTGTTCAGTGGTACGTCTCCAGCCAAAATGTGTTGCCCTTGCCTGACCCCCTTCCTCTGTACCTGTACAGTTAAATTTAAAGAGGGAATCAGTCCTCCTTCACCTTGGTTTCCTTGCGCTGAGCCCTTCTTGAAGGAGAGGGGTACAGTTCTGCTGGGTGGCACTCTGGAGGGGGTTAGCAGAGGCGGTGCTGTGAGGCGCGGGGTTGAGCAGTAACCCAGCAATGAGAGAGGAGTTCAGCGCACCTTGAACAGGAGCTCTAGCTCGCTGGGTACAAATGGGGCTTGCTAAATGCTGCTACAGTTACTGCTGCCACTGCATGCTCATCTTTCCTTTTGAACCCTAGGTGTATGTAGGGTGCTTAACAGAATGTCGTATTTGACTGCATACATATGGTATTACAACAGTGAAATCAACCACTGGGCGCATTCTTCTGTTCTGCAGTTTTCGTGTTACCCCAAAAATCCTGCTGCAGTTGCTTGTCAAGATTATGCTGTCGCTGGGAAGTTTGGAAGGCTTTAGTGGTGATTATTCACCTTCCCATGGCTATGCTTAGTATATGAGTATGGTATTGTAACTGTAGGTGGCTGCCTAATGTTTTTTCTGAATTTTTACTACCACTATAAAGAACAGGGAACCTATAAAGAATCTTGGAATACTTGCAGGGCATCTAGTGTAAGTGAAATTATATCTGTTTTCTCACAAATGTCTCCAGTAAAAAGTAATGTGGTTTTTAATGAAGACTGGCAGATTTCTGTGGGTTGTCTAATAGCTGTTTCCTTTTGAAAAGCCCATTGAATTGATCTTACTGAAACCTATCACTGACCTGCTGCTCTGAGATGACTTAAAAATAGGTAGTTATTTCCCTAGTGATCCAAATCTGACAAAGTAGGCATATAAAGTGGGCTGTAATAAACTAGTTTAATGCCTGGATCACTTAAAGTAGCCTTAATTCTCTTACTAAATCAAATACTGTTCACTTCTTGCACTGTTTTCTATCCTTTAGCCTGTTCAGTCTATGGTGTGGTCCTGATGACTGGAAGAAAAAAAAACCGGGAGAAATCACCTGCTTTCCTATATTGAGGGTATCAGGAGGCTTTAGGAATGGTGCATTTGGAGTTGTGGAAATATTTGCTTTTGATGAATAAAGCCAGATCAAGAGCTTAGGTAATTTTATACTCAGCAGAATGCTTGCATTTGCCTGACCGCATTTTTGTTCCCACTAAAAAGGGCTGAGTGAGTAGCTGGAGGAGCCAGGGATTTGCTTAAGTATTTGTTACTGGGAGGGGGACTTTTACCAAAGTTTTAGTTTCTGAAGTGAATGAATGAAGCCCGTGCAGCTGTGGTCAGGATCACTCTGTATGAGAGTGTGTGGTTTTGTGTTTTAACAGTTCAAATAGACTTTCTTAGGAAATGCAAGCAAGCTGGGCTTCTGGATGACATATTTGAAGAAATGCTGGACACGCTTCACCTGGCGCAGGAAAAACTGATGGATGACAACACTTCAGAAACAGGTATGGAGACCCATGGGGGACTCTGCTCTCAGAGCAGAAACGCTCATCTGCATGTCAGGCACTTGGCCTTGGGTCACCTTCCTGAGGATCCTTCTTCAGTGCTAAATCACTGGGTCCTGTCTTATTTCTGCAGCTGCACAGCAGGTGGAGACTGAGTATTTTTTTGGTATACCCATGTCAGTAGAGGGGAAGAGCTGCCACTCAGCATGCTCAAGTAAGGCCTTCTAACTTGGAATTTTTGAAGCCACCATTGACCTGTTGGCATAAGCATGGGTAGGTTCAGCCAGACCTCTCTTCCCAGGCACTGAAGAGGAGAGAGGTTCTGGAGAGAACTGGAAGGTTTTATTTGGATCATGAGTCTGTGGTGTTCTTACAGCTTCACAGAGGGACCAGCTATCTGTTAATAACAGCACTCTCTTTTGAGGGAAAAATCCCAGACTGTGTACATTTTAAGGCTTTGGATGATTAATTAAAACTTCAATGTCAACTGTTAGTGTGTAGGTGATGGAACAACTTATTCTTGATGCT